ACAATGTCTTCAGTAAACAGTTGCTATTTATATGGGAACTGGAAAGCAGTCTTCACCTGGCTACCAGTCCCAGTAAAGCAAAAATGAAAAACAGACAGCTTTTATATTGAGATTCTTTCATGCTTTTAATGGCAATGAATGTTTAATTCTGTATCACTTTGTGAAATGGCGTCCAGGTTCAAACAAGTTTGACCGTTCACCTCTTGATGGCAATGGGCTGTGCCCGCTGCTTTTACAGTTGCACCGTGGCATGTTTAGTTTTCTCTGGGGACTTCGCTGCACACCGAGATGGATAAAAGGGACTCCTTAGTCATCACTGTCAGGTCTTGAAGGCCCCCTAGTGGAGAGTTGACCTCTCTTCGCTCAGTGCTCTCATCACCATGTCGTGTACAATGTGTTCTGAACCAGAGGCCTTCTCAGGTGCTGGCCTACAGACTACAGGCCGATTATTGCCCATTGATTTCTCTTCCTCAAACTCGTTATAGTGCAATATTGTGACTACTAACTGCAATGGTCCTGCACATTTTAGCCACAACATTTAGCTATTTAAATTGTAATTATATAGGCCGTTTCTGAGGAGATCAGTTGTGCTGATTTGGGTTTACACTAAATTATTTCCAGCTTTGACTCCGGTGGTACTGTCGGACCAGAACAGATACTTTGTTCACAGACTAACTTCCTTTCTGCTCTTGAATCTGCTTCCATTACAATGACCGCATACAAAGTATCTTCCATGCTCCTAATATATCGCAGTTTGTACATCTGAATGGCCTGAAGTGGCCACTCTACAAATATGGACCTTTGAGCAACGTCGATGAAATGTCACATCATGTCCATCCTGCTCTGACATAAAGCAGTTTCTCAGGCATTACATAATCAAAATCACTCACTACTCTTCTTCGATCAGTCTTTTTTTCCATCAAAGAACATATAAACTCACTTTGAAAAGGTATGTTTTTGTTTTCCTTTTATAAAGAACAAAAATAATGTATGAAGCTATAATCTCTTTTATGTAAAATACAAGGAATCATGCAGTAATTAAAGGGCGGGAATTCCTATTATTGTTTCAGAGCTTGGTCTTATTTTGTAAAATTCCAGGACATTTCCATGATAAGAGCTGTGTAAAATACTCAACAAACAAATAATGTTATATAGTTTTAAATGCGATGTATATTGAAATAAATTACTTTTTCCTGTTTAAGAATGTTGACTGATAACTTCTCCTTTCCCCTGCACTGAAATGTGTCCGTAGTGCTCCGGATAGATTGACGTACTTTCCATTGATTACAGTCCAGTCCTGTCTTTCAGGAGACACAGAACACTGAGATGGTTGAAAATTGAAATAGTTGAGTATCTTTTTCATTTAAATATTGACTGACTGAATTTTCTCCAAAAAAGCTCATTTACAGCCGGAGTCTATTTTCGTTCCTATTTGTCAGTGTTTCCTGCCACTTGAGTAGGCGGTGTGGGCCTACTCATCAGATGAGCAACACCCTGCTTAACTGAATTTCTGAGTTTTGTGGGGAGCTGCCGGAGTGACACATTATTCAGCCTTCAGATTTTTCCACATACAGTAGTTACAGGGAAAACAGGGAGGGAGCTAAGTCATGATGACAATTTTCTAACAAAGTTTGTGTTACTAAATGGGGAATTGATTCCAGTGAAACTGAGATTGTGGTTATATTACTGGAAGTGTAGGATCCAGTGTTTCTGATGCTTGAGCCATACTAGAGGCTAAAGTCAGGATATGTCAGTCTCTGCTGCTTTCAATATTGTTTTTATCCATCTCTTGGGATGGATCTAAATAAACACAGTTACAGCACACCATTCAGGACCAGCACAGGAAGCCTTTTCTTGACAGAGACCCCAAAAACTTGACTTTTATTTTGACAAAATACAATAAACTGATGCAGAAAAGACACAACTTGGTGCATGAAACTGGAGAAGACTGGAGCTGGATGACCCCAACATCCGCCATTTCATATGTGTCTCCCAAAATTTGAAACAAAACCCACACCCTTGATATAATAAGTGAAACAGTACTGATGGTGCAGGAGAATTTCTTTGCCTCATTGCAGGAACTGATCTAGTCAACTTAGGGACCACTAGGGGGCAGCATTTGTTCATGGCGTTGTATCAAAATGGTATTTATCACTCAAAGCACAGGGAGATGCAGTACTGAAGAGTGGTGGAGAAAGTTTTAAGATCCTCTTCTTAAGTAAAATTACTAATATCACGATTAAAAAAAACACTTTGTTATAAGTAAAAAGTCCTACATTCAAAATCTGACTTAAGTGGGATTGTGTAAGTATAAACAAGGAAATGTCATGAGTAAAAGTACTCACTATGAAGCCAAATGGGCTGTTTAGTTGTCACATTACTATGTATTATAATGTTAGATTGTATCATTATTGATGCAGTAATGTTAAAGATGCATTTTTATGTTGTAGCTGGCTGCAATAGAGCTAATTTTATTCATTTTATAATGTTGGGTGAACGGGCAAAGGTCTCATTCCAACATTAGGGGACAGACATTTTTGAGTGTCAAACACTTCATTTCCTGCATTCTGGAGAATTTTTATGCACCAATTTGTGCATTTTCTGCACAGATTTTGTCAAATGCACATATTCTACAGTTGGAGCATCCTACACCCATGTTTGGGTTGTTTAATTTACTGTATAACAATATAATATGTTAATGCACTGTATTTCATCTACTCATTATAGGTTTTCAAACTCCTCATCTGCAAAGTACCTAGTAACTAAAGTCATCAAATGTAGTGAGTAGTAAAAAGTAAAATACAATATTTCCCTTTGAAATGTAGTGGAGTAGAAGAAGAAAGTAACATAAAATGAAAACACTCAACTACAAGTACCTTAAAATTGTACTTAAGTACAGTACTTGAGTAAATGTACCTAATTGCTTTCCACCAAAGGGTGCTGAACCAGATATTTCAATTCATTTACCCTTAAATATTGAAAATCTTGTATTCCACATGAGATTTCAGTAGCAATTTACAACTGCTCAAGTTAAAACTTGGGAAGGCAGTTTTATTTTGGCGTCAAGAATCCCACAATAAACTTTGAGCTCGTTTAAATTCAGATGATCTGAGAGAACACACCAGACCTCTGCACCTTCACTTGGCTCTGTCTTCAGGTTTTAGAAAATGTAGTCTGCGATGTGAGACTTTGAGCAATCACAGGCTGTTTTCAGACAGAGCAGATGTCAGTCATGTTAATCACTATGTAAGCTGCGGTCAAACTGTCAAACTCGGCAGCGCTGATCAGATATGAATCAAGATTTTGTTACTGCATTACCCTTTTCTTGCCTCAAATGCTTTCAGAAACACATTCTAGTGTACTGTTTAGCTGCAAAATGAGAACCTGTAGCCCCTGTTTCACAAACACTTTTGGTATGGTACCTTTGAAACTAAAAGTAACCCTTCAGACATGGTACCTAAACCCTAGCGTTTCCACTGCAAAGGGTACTCTTTCATATGGGTGGGGTTGTTGTCACTTACTGTTCATCCAGCACTCACTGTATTTCCTCATCATCGGTGACACAGATGGAAGTCTGCACCTCCTTTATCGTCCACAGAACGAGGCTGCATGCCGACATTTTCAGAACAAAATATAACAGGCTGCAGTGAGAGTCTCTCTCCATGGGATATTTAGAAATGGCAGCTTTGTGCAATTAATCCTTCTCAGGCAAGCTCAGGGGTTTAGTGTTGCCAGAGTCCACAGGAACTATACTCAACGACACTTTTTTTTTCCTCCAAGTGAGGATTGGGATATATGCCCTCCCAGTCGAAATCACTATATATAAATGCTTGAAGAGCCGCTCATTACTAGGAGTGCATGTCTTTAAAAAGCTAATGGAACGGTCAAAGCTGTCACAGTGAAATTTAAGGTATGTTGACTGATTGATGTCGTCAACTCATGCACTGAGTAACATTACAAGTAAATACTCCACCTTGAAAGTCACCGGCAGTCAGCACAGTGAATCACGTAACTTTTTCTCCGACTCCAGCTTGACAATTTCATTTCACAGTTACAGAAATAAAACTCGCCACAGTATGAACAGTGGTTACATGAGCCTCAAAACCAGCCACAACTCAGCCCTGAGTAAGAGTGACCTATTAACCAATCAACAGACTGCAGTATTCACAGCTCCACCTTTTAGTACCACATCTGTGTGCTAGGTACCCCAACAGAGGGGGGACTAAAAATGGGGTTCCATCCACAACTTTTCACAGTGGAAACGGGGGAAAAATGTGTACCAAACTGAACTAAACCTTACCGTACTGCTCGGTAGAAACAGAGCTTTTGTGACTCTGCTGCCATGTTGAAAAGAGTTGAGCTGAAATGAAGCACTGCTTTGTGGCTGGAGCAAACGTTCTCATATTACAGCTAAACAGTACAGTAAAATTTATTTCTGAAAACGCTTCAGGTGAGAAAAAGGCAAGGCACTGACAGAATCTTGATTCATATTTGATTAGCGCTGCTTAGTTTGACAGTTTTGACAGCTGCCATAGAGACTGGTTGATTTTGTGATTATTGCAAATGCCATTAGGAGCACTATGAGGTCACAGATGACTAAAATGATCAGGCTTACGACAGATTATCTGTCTCATACTGTCAGGATATAGTGACAGTTACAGTTGCTGGGAAAGCCACCTACTGTAGCTTTAATATCTCTTTGTTCAACACTTTTAAATCTCACACAGGAGAATATCATGGCAGTAAAGTAGCCTTTTCTTTTAATAAAGTCATAATGAGGACTTAATTTTGCAGTGATATTTGTTCAGTATCCCTCTTTAAGCTCCACAGCTGTTATCTGTGTTCTCATGCATTAGGCTGACAGCGGTGCAGATAATGGCTTTGTGATGAAGAGGTTAGTGTGAGATAAAGAGTTAAACGTGTCCGGCCTCTGCAGCCTGTGATTGGCCCGCAGCTGCAGCGCTGGGACGGACAACAACTCTCCGCTCCGTGCGCACACTGGAAAAGTCACTTGGTGGACGAAGCGGATTACACAGACGGGACCGAGCTGAGTTTTTTAAAGAAATTAACACATGATATGAGACTTTTATTGTGGTTCATGGAAGTTTCCGGTTTTAACCCGCTCGTGAATCCGTTATTTTACCTCAGAGACACGCGCGTGCTGGTCCGTTAGAGGTCGGTGAAAAGTCGACCACTGTCACTTCTGATTCATGGACTCAACACGGACTTTAGTTCAAAGTATTTCTGTCAAGAGGCTGACACAAGGTTGACTTCATTCATTGAATATCCAGGTATGTTATCGACACTTTTATTCTGGCCTTTCCTCCATTTTGTTTTAAATGTTGCTTTTATTTGCTTAACGTTACCACAGCTGCATGTGAGCAGCATCAGTCATATTTCACTGTATAAACAAAGATAAAGTAGCTAATACAGAACTCTTTGCTACTCTAAACCTCTGTAAGCTATTAAATATGAATAATTAGCCGACATGTACATAACTGTGATATTAAATTAACCAAAACAAACTTTACAAAGACCCTTAAAGTATTGTGAACCCCAATGTAAACCCATTACCTGAGTGTGTGCCTGTGTTTGGGCTTACTAATCACCTTCACACATTTTGTGATAGTGCTAATGGTTTGCTGTTGTATTAATATGGAAGTTATATTTTGTTTTCTTTTTAATGTTGACATAAGCTGACTTAATTTTGGGTTCATTTCAGACAAACGTCCCAGGAGTGTAGTTTGGGAACCAACCCAAACTTTGTCCAGCCAAAAAAAAAAAGTTTTATTTACATGGAAAATGAGTTGCTATTAATGGTGCAATCATTGATAATACTTGTGTGTTTCATTATGTTATTGTTTATATAGCCTAAGAAATTAACGTTGTTTTAAATCATGTGAAATTGGCTTGAACGGCACAGATTTTTGGCTCCCATTTGATAGCCCCGTGGAGAATACTATGCACATATACCCTGTGTCACTGTGACCATGTGTCTTTCAGATTAAGGGGACATGAAGTTGTCTTTGGACAGCATGGGCATCCTGAATATTGCGCTCTTCATCTTTGAGGCTGTTTTGCTGACCGACTGCGCCAGAGGTAAGAGCTGCCTCATAAATGTTCTTTCTTCCTAAGACTGCGTGTTAAAAACCTGGAAGGTAACACCAGATTCATAGCTCATTATAACTCAGGCTGACTGGCTGGTTTCTTGCGAGCATGAAGAAAGTCTCAGTTGGCTCTTAAGGTTTTTGCGCAGACAAGTAAGAGACGGAAAACTAAGAACTAAAAAATCTCTAAACAGGGCCCAAAGTCAACACAGGGCAGGGGAATGAGAGAGGGCAAGCCAACCCCTACCCCCGGTTTGTGTGTATTTCAGTCACGGCCGTGTGTGTGTGTGTGCGTGTGTATGCACATTCACTACAGCTAAACCAAACAAACATCATCCATCAGCTTCCCAGGGTGAAAGAACACAAGTCAGTGTAAGAGTCCAGCTCTCCCGCGGCTGGCCAAGGGACTGTCTCACATCAGCCTGCGTATGTGTGTGTTTATGCATGCCCACGTATGTGTGTGTGTGTGTGTGCTTGACCGAAACACTGAGTGGAGTGGCGAGTGGGAGACCTCAGTCTGACCACAATTCACTGCACTGTTTATTGTGCCAGTATCAATACTTTTCTTTATAAAGACAACTTACAGTGAGCTTGTCAACAGGTCGTGAATAACTGTCGGGGCAATTTCTATGATTTCATCCACCATCACTGACTACTGAACCATGTCTGATGCAGTCCAGCGGCAGGAGTCAAAGAACGAGGCAAAACTTGAAACTGCGCTTTAATGAGAGAAATCTGAAAGCCAGGCACATTTACCCGGAAGACCACGCACTGGCAAAACAAGCAGGCTCCATAGCGCTGTCTTTCTTCTCCAGCTCAGCATGGAAGTGAATTCAAGAGGCGTCTGATAGGTACAATACCTGCATGTGGCTATCAGGGCTCAAGGTAGAGGGGGCAGGAGGGGGCTGGCGGCGGTTTAGAGGGGGAGATTAGATCTGTGGGCCTGCAGACAATGCCTTATTCACAGCGTGGAAGCCATGCCTTCACGGCACGACTAACTCAAAAGTAAACAAGACGCGAAGGCTAAATGAGATTAGACAGGCAATTTTGTATGTTTACAGATTAACAGATGTCAGCGAAGGAGAAATCCAAAAGGGAATCCGATGGGATGGCGGAGAGTGGAGGTCTGAACTGATTCAATGTTAGACAAAGGGAAGAATTTACAGCCTGTTTTTCATAATACCTCAGAAAGCAGTTGCAGATGCACAGACAGATAGACACAAAAGCAGATATGTAGCTGGCGGTGAGATGATTTTGAGCGATGCTTGACAATCTGTGAAAATCTGTGTAAATATTCCACAGTTCTCCCAGAAGCAGCAGTGGCAGCGTTACAGTGAGTTCTGTGTTACAGTCCAAGTGCAACAGCTTGACTCTGACAGCCTATGAAATACAGTCAGGGGGGTTTTGACCAAACTTGTGCCGTTAAAGTGTAGCCAGTGCCAAAGAAGCAATAAAACTGTTACTGTAAAATTTAACAATGCATGATGACATCTTTGACAAATGTAAATTAAATTAAAAAGGACAGAGCCCCTTTGTGTTTTGAAACAGTTGAAACAGATTGGAAGTGTTACTTTACTGCCGCTTTCTCAACATTTCGAGCAACACATCAGAAGACAGTAAGTTTGGGTGAACGATTTTAAGCCTGTTGCTGTCAGTCATCGGGCGACATCTGACCCTGGACCCCCTGCCCACACACACACGCACAATTTGGACCCTCCCTCTCTCCGCTGCTGCGACTTTGCGACTGGCCAAGCAAGAATTATTTCTTAAGACCCCCCCCCCAGGAACCCCCACACTTCCTCCATCCCAGCGCCTCTTTTCCTCCCCCTCTGGTGCTCGGCCACCCCCAGCAGCTGGAGGAGGTGCTCAGTGATGTGTCCCAGCAGAGCCTCTAATGTGGTGACAGGCCTGGGGACCACTGGGCTCCACTAACTGAGGAATGCAGCAGCCTGGATATACTGATCTGCAGAAATGCACCCTGGGAGAAACACAGAGGCACCAGGTGTCTCTGTTATGCACCAGGACTAACCAACAATGAACACACACACTAAACGGAGCTGTTGTGATGCATTTTAATTAGAAACAGGCATCAAATACAGTTGGGCCTTCTTGTGCATGTATGTGACCTTGCTTTATTTCCTGTTTTCTAACACCACACACATATTTGCTTCACCTCTGGATGGAGCAGCATGGTGAAGTTTAGAGCATGTGAACTGCTCCGCAACCGCGCTGGAAAATATACATTTTATAGTAGAGTTACATCATGGTTTCATAACAAGAAGGTACTATGAGATAAATTGTATGCCAAGGGCTTTTAAAATCACAAGGCTATTTGGCTCCCATACAGTTTTCCACTTCCTTTAACCGTAATGAGGCTAGTTTCTCAGCAACCAAATGCCCCATGTGTCCTCTTATTTTTTAAATAGCTCCTGAATAGTAAGAAGGTGTAACAGTGGTGTTCTGGCTTGTGGGCCAAGCTGTTGAGACGGGGGGGAGGGAGAAATGAGCTTGGCTGTGCTGCTGTGTAGCATGTTTTTTACAACCCTTGCCCAACTTGCACTTTTATGCTTCATTTAGGTATTAGGGGTAAAATCAGTTTCATGTTACATTTTGTTTTTCAGCCCACACCAAACAGTATAACTTGTCAAGCGCTTCACATCTTCTACTAAAGTTCTAATCGTTGTGATTGTTCAGTGCATCACATCCAATTTTCCAAACCAGACACTGGAGCTGTAACTGACTCAGTTGAATTAGATTTGGCTGCGTAATACAAATATTTGACTATTCGTTCCTTTTTTTCACATAGATTGTCAAGTAACACTTGAGTAAACTGCCAATTTTTTGAATGGGGTTAGGCAGGAAGTTCAGGGTGACGGCAGCGGTCATGTAATATATTAAATATGTCAAGTTTGCCCTCCGAGTTAATGCGTGCTAAGTGTGCTGGTGATGGATCGGATTGTGCAACAACATTTTTTGCCAACACTCGATATCAGACAAAAGCAAAAGCCTACGTCTCACTTGGACTCACCCTGGCTCCTCGGATGGTCCCATTCCCTGAGTTGGGAAGTCATTCTTCTGCTTTTGTTGTGTTCATGAGCTTGAAGTTGTAATATGGTTGTTGCTGTGAGTTGTAAATTCAACACTTCTAAGCAGAAGACAGAAGACAGTTATACTGGATCCTGATCAGGCAAAGCCTCTCCTTTTCCAGTCAGCTTCCTACATCTCACTCAGACTCACGCCTCATGTCCACATAGTATGCGTAAGAATGCAGGTCAGCCGAAGTCCATTTATGTCTATGAGAACCTCTGAGATGTGATGTGTTTGAGAAACTCTTTACTATTTTTTTTTTTTTTTTTGTCTTTTGGTCTGGAATTTGCTGCAAGTACGTTGAAAGAAATTGAACTTCGGTGGCAGATTTCGTACAGACCGTATGTGCTGTACCACAGGAAGTTAGCATAAAAACAAATCAGCTACCAGACTGATGAATGTAATGCAGCTGTGGTGATGTTTCTAGCCATCTGTAAAGTGATGGAGAGATGCAGTTCCGTGTGTTGAACACCAGGGGCATACTACACAGAAATACCAGTACAAAACAAAACTGTGAGATATGAGGTGTCACCCTGTTTCTGGGTCTTCAGCTGCCTGTAAAAGCGACAGCAAGGAGCGCTCACTCTGCAGCTACAGCTGAGAATGGAAATGTCCCCAGAAGTACGCTGCACACTGACGGACAAAAAATGCCCCAAACAACACTTCTTGACCTGAAGGATCTTAATCGACTGAGTTGTCTCCAATTGACGATTCAAATCTTTGACTTTTAGGGTGCAGCCCTACCAGACACCCAACACTGTTTGCCACCCTTCTGACACATGTCCCCCTTCTTTCCCCTGCTCCTCTCTGCATTTCCTCCCATTTATTACCAGTGTAAAGTCGAAGGAAGTAAGTTAACTTAATGTGCTGTCGTTAAAGCAAGGCATGAGCTGACCTTTAGTCCCACCCAGCCTTTTCCAGCTCTCCGTACCCCCTATTTACTGAGTCTGGGTCCATTTGTGGAGAACAATGGCTGGATTCTTCTGTGCAACAGTCCCCCAGGTTGGACAGGGCAGCAGTAATTAATTTTAAACACTCCTCATCCCTGTAGACTGGACTTATTTGCCATCAAATTAGAGCTCACTGTAGACGGGGGACTGTCTTTACTGAGGCGCTGCCATTTAGAGGTGCGTGAGAAGAAGTTACGAGAGTGAAAGAGCGCTGCTTTCGTGTGTCTGAATATATGTGTGTGTTTTATTAAGCAGGCCGAAATTACCCTGAGAAAAGTCAAGATAATGAGACATCCAAGGAGCACAGGGCAATTTGGAAAACCTCAGAGGTACACCAGCAGCTATTCCCACTCAACCTCTTTCTCCTTGAAACCAGGTGGAAATAATATTCCTCCTGCTACGATCCCTCTGTTTCTATCACGGAAACAATGTTACCACCATTCTAGCAATCCGTGTTCCTCGTCCATCAGCACACACTGCTGACCCTGTGAGTTCAGGAGGAAACATTCGTTGAGAGGAATGTGTCAGACTTCACCCCTCTGAGGGGAAAGAAAGGAAAGGGCTGTAGCTGTGATAAGTAGTCATAATGGAGGTCAGTTGGTGTTTACTTTAGCAGGGTCATATAATCCCTGTGAGCAACACTCCCCTCATTGACTGACTTTAATGGCCACTTCAATTAGCATTTATGTGGAATTTGAACGAGGCATTGTCCGCTCTCTGCGTTTGTCATTTTCAGCTGTATGCTAATGCTCCGGTGCACATGAGGAGAATTTTATTCCTTCTCTCTCTTTTTTTTTTATTTTTTAAGAAAATCCTATTGAATCATATGAAGGTCTTTGTGTGTACAATGCTCATTAGTTTGTTTGGGCAGTTGGCTCCGGGAGTGTTTTCAGACCACACACACTCTTCCTGCTGGCTGAATGGATTTGGGTTGAGTTAAATAGAATTCCTTTTG